GATGAAAAAAAATTATAAAAATTAATTAACGTCAAAGTGACACTGCCAAAGTCAAAGCAATCATGGATTAGGCATTTCATTTTAAATTTAGATAATATCAAGTGGTACAGGGTATTAGTATTTTGGGTTGCGTAAAAATAATTTTCAGAAGTAATTATCTCGTGACTAACCCTGTATATTAGAAATATCATGTAGATGGTTAAATGTTAACCAAAATTTTTGCTAATCATCCCCACCGACAGTTTGATGACGTCATTTCAAAGAATTCTATGTTAATTTGAATTAACTGTTATACAACAATATACTCCTATTTGTGTGGTGTACGAATTCGCTTTGAATTTTTTCCTTAACCGTCCAAATTTTCGCAAAAAAATAATACACACTCTAATACCAATTTACCATAAGCGTAACACATATGATCGTGGAGCATGGGATAAGAGTTTGCCGCGTGGTCCCGAAGTTCAGCGTTCAATTCCGAATTAGGCTGTTTGTTTTTTTTTTCTTTTTTTCTCACGCATTGTGTATTATCCATGTTTATGACGTCATAACAAATTTTTTATTGATGAAATTAAGAACGAGTCATCCCACTTTCTCGAAAAGGTACGCCCGGTTTCATTTAATACAAATTAAAATAATAATAATATTCAGAACATTCTGTTTGATTATGTCTGAATTAATAATTTTATTTATACATCGGAAGAAAACTTGTTTATTACTGTTGGTTACGTGCTTTAAATATATATATATTTTACATTGTCCGTACCTGTACAATTTGCGCTTCAACGGTGCAGGGACTTCGAGAGTGTTATTTATGCCACAGGTTTTTATTTTATAGAGGTTATCTTAAAACAAGCATAGCAAAATCTATTTTTATAATTTTTCCAAGAAGCGAGGGAAGTTCTGTCGAAATAAATTTCGACCAATTTTTTTATATATACTTTATTTAGAAAAATTTATTACATAATCTCAAAACCCACCCTTTTTGAAGAGTTTCGATACGTCAGATTTTGAGGAAATTTACAAATTCGTGCGAAACCTTATTAGAAATTATTACTCTCTCGGCTCATTATAACAGTTTGCGGTTGTCGGAGATGTGCTCGACCAAAAAATCTCGAGTCCTCGTCATTTTAGAGCTATGCAAATGAGAAGGCTTTTATAAAATACTTTCACGAGCAATTGCATTCTTCCGAGGGCTTTTTTTCCATCGAAGATAGGAACATCTTTTAAAAATGTATAACTTGGTAATTTGGCATGTAAAAAAGAATCGAATGAACTGTTTCGTAACGTTTTTTCCCACATCAATAAAAAGGATAAAAACATTTGCATTACTCTGCCCGAGCCCAGCACGAGTATTCGTAGGGTAACCAAAGATTTTCTGTTACCAATAAATGAAAGAATATTATTACTTATTGGTATTGTCGAGTTGTTCTGTCGAAAATGTAGATGGTTCATTTGGTTTGTGTGTGCTATGTATTCGCATCAGGTGAATTAGGATCGAACTCACAAAAGGACGAACCGCAGACAGTCGATCAACAAAGGCATAGCTCACTATTGGATATGCAAAATCTAATAACATTACTTGGCGAAAGTGAACGCAATGAATATTTCTGCTTTCCGGGTTTTTGGCAATTTTACTTAACTACATTTATGCTCGCACATAGACAGTGTATGAAACACTACTTACTAAAAGGTTTTTGTTTTTTTAAACGTTGCTACTACTTCTTGTCGATGCAAGATTTTTACGGTTTGGTTAAAAGGACAAATTGTCTTGTCTTGTTTTAGAAACAGATTAGTCAGTATGTGTACGTTTGAAAATGCAAACAATTTTCCTTAAACTGTTCTTTCAATTACGAGATAAAAAGCTAACTACAGGGTTCTCTGAAAACTCTGTATTTATTGGTATGCGTCGTTAGACTAAAAAAACCTGTTGATTTTTTTAGGAAATAGCCATTTGCAGTATCGAAGATTGCAAATGACATGAAGTTTGCTCGTTTAGCTCTAAAGTTTTCTGTGTGCAGGTATTAAAAGCAATCATTTTGAAGTGAAGTCTCTCATCGTGGCAGCGATTTCTTAAATGTTCTACATTTCCAATTCTATTTACATCAACACAAGCCTTTAAGTAGAAGACAAGTTGGAAATTCCTCAGTCCACTTCCCTTCCAAAATGGTATTAACGTTCTTTCTGAAACTACTTCAATTTAATCTTTATTCTGCTCAGGCCATTATGCTTTTCGGCAACAAAATCTTTTGTGATTGCTTTAAAATTGCGTCGAATTCTGAAGCAACTTTGTTTGAGGTGTTTACAAATAGGCACTAATAACCTGAGACAACCAACGGACCACAGATATTCAAGAATTAATAAATTGTTTATCCGTTGAGCTCTGAGTAAGTCACTTACCTAGTAATCATAATGAACAAGTAGATATATATATATATCATTCATTAAAGATAATTAGACTGAGTTTGACTGTGCTCCGTCCTCAGTTTTAATAATTAATTTTACAGAGAACTTCTCTTCGAAGCCACAAAATACTTTTCAAACGAACAGTTGCAAAGAACAACAATTATAATTATTATTACCTTTAAATCCTTTAATAGACAGTATGCCTACAAGATCCAGAATAAACCGAGTTAGCTGAAGCATAGAGTACTGAGGAAATTTAGGAAAATGCTCCAATGGGTCACAAGACTTTTTTGTACGGCCTACGATTTGAGAGTACATTTGAAATTTCATCGATGCGTTGGCCTGTGATATGTAGCTTATGTAAAAAATCGTATGGCTTGTCCAACTTGTGTCACTAGTCTTAATCTACTTTATATATTTCAGAATAAGGAATGCTCATTCTCGCAACTCATACCAGCCGGAGAAAGCAATCCCAAATACTTTACAGTTTACTTTTAACTATATTTAAATTTCAATACTGTTGGTGAGAATGTTCTGGCAGTATTTTTTTCCTCACAAAAAGATACTCAGATTTCTCAGTGTTATTCAGATTTTTGTTACTGCAATGTATGGTTTGATGTCTTGATTAAGATGAATCAAATTTTTTCATTCTAATGTCGAACATTTGACATTATTAGAATCAGTTTTTGATTCTCCTTCCTATTTTACAAAAAGTGTGGTTTTAATTTGTAAAAAATGTTGATGACGTCGTAATGTTTTCAGCGTCAGCTCACACTAGTTGTATGCAGTGGACCTGTTTTCAGACTTTGTGGGCATATAGAATACTGAAGTACTGATTTGACAAGAAATATTTTGCAGATTTGAAACGTGATTGTTGATCATCTGGAAATGTGATCTTCTAGTTCATTTAGCTTATAAAATGATGTTTGTAATTGAACCATGTTAACCAAAAACGTACTAAGCGCCAAATCGCAAAAAATGAGTTAAACATCGTAACAGCCAGAATTTAATGTCAAAAACTAATTTGTAAAAATCCTTTATTGGTCTTAATTATTTTTTTACCAAAATTGAGGTAGAACTATGCGCCTTTAATAAATCTGGGATTATGTTTTAATCAAAAAGGTACCAAGGGACACAGCACTTTTTTTAATTGGTTGTGCAGTGCTTTGTTTCCTTGTAACTATCCTACAAACTTAGTGTTTTATAAGCGTCAATTTTGGCTTTATAACGAGGGTATTTACTCTGTATTCATGCTAAAATCAATTTTATAGCAACATTCTACTTAACAAACGATTTATTTGAAATTTTTTGTTTCGGAACATAGTTTTTTACCAAATGACAAAGATTTTGGAGTCATTAAGTATATACACCACAAGATTACGCCAATATTATTTTAAATGATAGAAAGAAAAATCCACTTATTGTTTAGTTTATGCAGAAAGAACATTTTTGTAGTGAAGCCGATTTAGAGTCTAGTGTCACAAATAGAAGGCATACATAAACAAAAAATTAGCTGCTTGAAAACAAGAGTAATTAAACTTACTAAAGATTACCCGTTTTATATTTTTATGAAAAGTAATCAGGAAAATGAGATCTACAATGAAGTTTTGATGCATAAAAGGAAAAGACTTCTAAAAATTTTGGAAAATTGTCTACATTATGGCCGAATGGAAAAGCAATATCGCGTAAATAGTTGACAGATATAAAAACATTATGTCTTTTTATTCCCGAGGATGCAAAACTCTTTTACAAAAACTTACGGGGAATAAACTGTGAATTTTATGTGGAGGGTTTTTCAAATGATATCGATTTCGAATTAGGGGAAACAAATTTAACTTAATCATTTTTGTTTTTGTTTCATGGCATATATTCCTTTTTATAGCAGGTCGTTAAATTAATATAAATATATATAATATTTTTCAAAAAATTACTTAGTGCCTTTTTACGGAATAATAAATTTAATATCATGGTTTTCTCAAAAAAGAACCAAGCGCCAAAATGCTTCTTTAAAACTGTAAAGGACTGGGTATTTTTGATGCCATTAACAAAATAGACTACATTCATAAAGTCCTGTATTCTTAAGGCAAAAATTTTATTCAGACATTAATACAAATTTTTAGTTTTTAATGAAAGTTTACTTTAGTATTACTCGAATTGCAATTTTGTCGCTTTGTACGTTTTTGGTTAACGTGGTCCAATTCTCAGTACAAACGAGTCTCCATCAAAACCGAGATTGTATACTTCATTAAGAATGCTGCAAACTTAAATTAGGGCAATAGATCGAAACTCTAAAGTTTGTGTAGAATTGATTATGCTTTGAATTAATGAAGCGTCACCTTAAGGGGAAAAATATACCTCACGTTGTGTGGCAACAAGTGAACAACGACCGACAAAGAAGACAAAACAATGAGGAACTCATTTGTTGCGTTTAAATTTTTGGACCGCATATAATGTTTGCAAAATTTTAGAGGAGATTCAACAGTTTATGAATGAGATATGCTTCAAGGGACTTCTCGTCATAGTTATGTTTTTATACCTATTAGTGTTTGCGGTACATTTTTAAATACCTTTTGTTGATGTTTCGCTTTCTTTTTTAGGTAACGTTTTTGTGATAGCTGCGATATTGCTGGAGCGAAATCTACAGAACGTGGCCAATTATTTGATCGTGTCTTTAGCTGTGGCCGATCTTATGGTAGCGTGTCTTGTTATGCCTCTTGGTGCTGTATATGCGGTGAGTATAGACATTATGACAATTCGATAATGTTTTGCCAAGGTGTTGTGGGTAGTGGGTTCAGGCCACTTGTAACTCAAACGATAACGTACCATCGGGATTACATAAATAAACAAGGGTAACTTTTGGAAGTACAGGTTGACACATAGCTTTAGACACATAATAGGATCGTAATATGGCGATTATTAAGTTTATTTTGTTTATGTTCTCACGAACATTAAATCAGGAAAACACAGATCTGTTGACATTTTAAAACGAAGAAACTGATTTGTTGTTTTATGCTTTGTTAAGAACAAAACATTATTTCGTTTTAACTGATCTTCTGCCGCAATCCATTTTATTAATTTTTGCAAACTATAACATTATATTGCTACCCATATGTAACTGTTGAAGAAACCGTTTAGTCTTATTTGCATAAAAAACAAACTTTAAATCCATCAGAACCTCAACGCCCTCGAATGCTTTGAAATAAACCGTTTTAATATACTAAAAGTTTTATCAAACGAAAAAATTGATGTGAATAAATTCCCTTTACATAGTTTGGAATTGTAAAAACCCACCCGCCATTAATCTTGAGTATATACAGGGTTAGTCACGAGAGAATTACTTCAGAAAATTATTTTTACGCAACCCAAAATACGAATACCATGTACCATTTGATACTAACTGAATTTAAAATAAAATGCTTAATCCATGATTGCTTTGAGTTTGGCAGTCTCATTTTGACAATTGTGGAAAAAGAGGTTACGCGAGTGTCCATGCTGGTACCGCAGCCAGTCGGAAATCTCCTCCGGCGCCGCTAATAAATTTGTCAGTGTGCCTCTTGAACTTTTGCAACCGATTAATCACGAGAAAATTATTTCTAAAAATTCCTTTTACGGCATTTTATTCAAAGGTTACAACACAAACTCAAACAAGTAAGTAAATAATTTAACTACTAATCTGTTGAAAATGTTGGGCATTTTGGGGGGATGCTACGGCTTTTTTGTAAATGGATGGCCGAAGAAGTCCAGAGGTTGCAGATTTGCACTTCGAAGAGGCTCTAGGTGACGCAGAGATGGCGAATTAACACATGCACATTAGCGGTGAACAACATTGGTAGAGCACTTACGGCTTCACTATAGCCCAGATTGATCTGACTGTATGTCGTCGATCCAATGGGGCTCTAGAGACGAGTCAATGATGAAAAAAAATGTTAAAAATTAATTAACGTCAAAGTGACACTGTCAAAGTCAAAGTAATCATGGATTAGGCATTTTATTTTAAATTTAGATAATATCAAGTGGTACAGGGTATTAGTATTTTGGGTTGCGTAAAAATAATTTTCAGAAGTAATTCTCTCGTGACTAACCCTATATACACTGCTACTATCGTCATAAATTCATTATCTACTTGAAGAAGGAGGAACTGTGCACCGAAACACTTGTTGTAGTATCAAACAATAATAGTTATTTAATCAACTAGTTGGGTAATGACAGCGATTAACGATCGAGCAATTTTAATTACACGAGCGACCGAAGGGAGCGAGTGGAATTAAAAATAGACGAGATCGTTAATCGCCATTACCGTGTTGATTACAATATTTTTTCGACGATCGTAATTTTCGAAAACAGCAATTTGAATCATATTTTTAACATTTGTTATGCAACCAACAATACTTTGACATTTCTGTCGAGTTTATTTTATTTAAATCTGTTTCACAATACATTTTTGAATAAAAAAACACCCTGTTGACTCAGCTTTTAAATATCGCGTCAATTAAAAAAAAAAAAACTTTGAAATTGAAATAACCTTAGATCATATAATAAATAGATACCAACACGCCGTGTTCTTTCCCTACGAGAGCCTGTGACGACATCCTCCTGTCACACGTCTCTCTTGTGCATGGAGGGATTACAATGAAGCTATCCTTGCCTGATCACTGTTTGAATTTTGCGCGCCTAAATTTTAGGAAGTATGTCTGAACTAACTTCGTACGAAAGATGTTGACAGCTTGATTGTATAAATAATTCACAGGAGATAACGAAAGGAATAGTAAATTATTGGGGAGCAATTGTGATCCGTTATGATTACATCACTTAAAATAGGATCTTTGTTCTAAATTCTAAAATTGTTTCTCGTACAAGAACTCGAAAGAGAGGTTAGAAGAAACATCTGTCAAAAGCGATTTGTTGGGCTGGTGCGGTACAAGGTGGAAGTGAAATAGACATATACAGATGAAATGCATATAACAAAGATAAAGATGTGGTGATCACACAAGGATAGCATTATACTACCCCCTTGACGTAGAAAACGACAACAGATAGCTTCATGTCTAGTCACAGCTTTCAGTTTGAGTATTGGTATCTATTTATTATATGATCTAAGGAAATAACAAACTTTATTAGATTGGTATGCAACCAACACTACATTGACATTTCTGTCGACTTTAGTTTAATCATTGAATAATGAGACTCATTATTGATCAATTTTGAACACCAAATTTGTCCGTAATTTTCACATTAATAAACGATCGTCGGAAAAATATTTTAAACATAGAGAATATTTTTCTTAATATAAGTATACAGAGTCATCAAAATTGATTGACAGAGTTGGTAAACCTGAACTTGAATAATTTTGTTTATTAAGTTGTATAAAAATATTAGCTGTCAGATTTGAAGTTTCAAGTTTCAAATTTCAAAACTCAGTGGCGTCTTTTTTCGCCTTTTTTTTTGGTAAAAACATTAGTTGTCAGATTTGAAGTTTCTAATTTTTGTCACGCCACTGAATTCATTGCCATATAACCTTAAACAAATCTGTCATAAGGTTGACAAACTTCACGACAAAAACAGGGGGTACCAACTCTCTCAATCAATTTTGATGACCCTGTACATATAAAGTGGAACTGCTGTTATTAGTTTATATTTTTCTCTTAGCCGTTACGATATGTATCAAATCTGATACATTTGTATGTGTGCGTATGTTCAGCTTGTGTGTGAATCTGTTGGTAGCGCTTAAACTATTGAAATTTTTGAAATTAGGCGCGTGTAATTTGTTTCTGTTTACTCTGTTGTATGTATCACAGAAACTGTCGGTTAGATGAACTATAATAGATTGCCTCAAGTAATTGGCTTGCCATGTAAATAGCAAGTCAGTGTGTTGCTTGAAGGGTAGTATTGTCGGGAATCCCTAAATACCAATCTAAATATATGTATATATTCTACAATAACGTCACGTTAACAGGGATGACTTCCCGGCACTAAAAATTTAAAAGTGCTGTTCATTTGAAATTTATTGCAGTATTGCGAATCTTATCTTAATTCGATCGATTACCTTTAAAGATCTAATTAAAGTTGAAAAATGATAACTTAACATTAATTAGGAACAGAAAATTTTCTTAAGGGTATTTTAACTCCAGATGTATTGCGCGTCTTTCAGTATTAGATACAAATTTGTTCCGTCGATTATACATATAAAAATTGGTCTAAAGAGTTTAGACAGTACTTCCCTCTCTGTCGGAAACTTGACGACTGCATGCCTATCGTGTTTTTTTCTCATTACATTTTTGTAGTGGGAATTTAAAAAAAAAATTGCGATGACGTCATCAACATTTTTGCAAGGACAAGTATATCAGTTGGGATAGATGTAGTGAAATACTAAGAATAAAATTATTGTATTCCCAAATTTTCGGGAAAATGAATTGGGTCGTTTTGAATATTGATTTGTTATAATCAATAAAATAACGAAACAATTTACTCACGTGTACGGCGCCGGTGTGTAATATGAGAGGCAACTGAAAATCGTTTATGTATAAACATTCTTAATTTAAGATGACAAGCGTAACAGCATACGTGAGAGTCAAACAGAGAAACTGTAAACAAAACGACCATCGGTTTTATTGCTTCGACTTCCGCTTATTATATAAAACATTGGGTTTTATTTTAATTTTTGACGGTGGAATTCACAATTGGTTGATTATAAACATGTCTATTCCACATTCGCGGAACCTAGTCAGCGCATAAAACAAATGCACGTCTGTAATGTTAAGGTCGATGTAAATAAGCGCGCTACCCTTATGTTTCAACCGAGTTTTTACTTTAAAAAATTTTGTGTCTACCAAATTGGGTTGGTCCAATGTAATACTAATAATAAGTGTTGCCTTTAATTTAATCAATAAAATAAATTGACTTCATTAATTTTTTTGAGCCACCTCTTAAGAAAATCTAAAAAATATGAATGGAATGATAAATCACAAGTACAAACTGATCATATTTTTTTCATTTTAGATAGGATTTATTCAGCAAAATTTAAGGGTGACGTCATCAATTTTTTTAGGAGGGATGAACAAATACATTTTGAACAAAAGTTTACCATGCTTATAATAACTTTAAAATATCTCCAAGATTTCAAAGCAATCGGTTTTGTAATTCCTGATTAAATCGATAAAATAAATTGACGCATTCATTAATTTTTTTCAGTCACTCTGTATATGCAAATCGAAAAAATATGAATGGAATGATAAATCACAAGTACAGACTCATCATATTTTTCACATTTTAGATAGGATTTATTTACCAAATTTTAGGGTGACGTCATCAATTTTTTAGGGGGGAAGAGCAAATACATTTTGATAAAAAATTTACCATGCTTATGATAACTTTAAAACATCTCCAGGATTTCAAAGCATTCGGTTCTGTAATTCCTGATTAAATCAATAAAATAAATTGACGCATTCATTAATTTTTTTCAGTCACCCTGTATATGCAAATCGAAAAAAATTGAATGGAATGATAAATCACAAGAAGTACATTTTAGAAAGGATTTATTCAGCAAAATTTTGTGGTGACGTCATAAACTTTTTAGGGGGGACGACCAAATACATTTTGATCAAAAATTTACCATGCTTATGATAATTTTAAAACATCTTCAAGATTTTAAAGCATTCTGTTTTGTAATTCCTGAGTAAATCAGTAAAATAAATTTTGCGCATTCATTAATTTTTTTGAGCCACCCTGTATATG